CTGAGGACCACCCCATGCTTCCATTTTTAGAGTGATTAGCATCCAGTCAAGAGATAGAGTTCATAACCCATCATTGGAACAAGGAAATTTTCACATAATGAATTATTAACAAAGCATAGTTAATTAGTAGTAGGTAAAAGAGGACTCTAAAGATCCCAGAGGGGAAATAGAGCAACTTGTATGTCTAGACCACGGGCGAGCAAATAGTGAAGGAACTAAAGATGCGAAGGTCCTCCCCTACGAGCCAGAGTCAGACCTCTTCAGTGAGGGGGTGACCAGAGTCTAAGAAACCGCTAGGAAGTATGGGCTGGCACTGACCTGTAGAAGTGGACCTCTGGAGAGTAAGGCTGAGGGAGCATCTAGGCGTGGTCCACAATGGCCCATGAGGTGTTAGTTCCTGTGCTGAGTCAAAAAATTACAGATGGAAGGAGACCAGACCTGGAAGCCAGTGCCCGGCCTACTAGCACCTTACAGTGTCCCTCTAGCGCCCTCTACTGACAGAGCCTAACACTGTTCCAGCGGAGAACTACTACAGGGTCAGCTCCAGCATCTCCTAGCTGGCAAAGGAGGGTGTATTTGGAGCTCAGAGACAGTAACTCAGTAACTTGGATGGGGTAGAGAACAATATAGAAGGAAGTCAGAGTTTTCCAGGGATAGAGGCTACAGGAGGGACAGAGGAGAGAAAGGCATGAACTGGAGTCCTAAGAAGAGAACTTGGTCCCTGGTTCTCTTCAAAAAGAGAATACAGGGGCCCTTCCTGTTGGCACAATGGGTGAAAACACAGCACCACGAAGGTCTCCGCAGCCACTTCAGCACAAGTTCAATCCCAGCCAGGAAACTGACCCACGCAGCACAGCAGACCTCTCCTGACCCACCGGCTGCTCCTTGCAGCAGTATACTTCATTGATCTGCCTGTTCTGCTCCCCGCCCTGTCTCTGATGAATTCTCTTATGGCACCTGCACCTCTGGCCTATATGTATGCATGAATAAATAAAATCTTAAAAAGAGAGAGAGAGAGTACAATGAAATGATAAACCTAGCTTGGGAATGTCATGCTGTTCCACTCTCAACAGAAAATAAAATTCCTAGACAGGTTCCCTCCTTCTTCCCACCACTTGGAGTAAGTAAGAAGTGAATTGAGTGCATTTCTTCTTTTCTTTTCTTTCTTTTTTTTTTTTTTTGAAGAGGCCTTCTCAGCTCTGCCACTCCTGCTGACTCAAGACACACCAACAACTTTGGATTCAACAGACAAACATCCTTCAACTGCATTTTTGGCAGGTCTCCTAGACACCAAGCACTGAGTCTGGGAGGCTTTTGACAATGGGCCTCTGCTCAACCTGTCTGAACTGGCCTGAAGACGTGTTATGGGGGCAGACTGACTCACGGATGAGAATAATTGCCAGAAGTTGCTATGTTCCAGGTTTGGACTTGCTAGCATTTCTGTGATAATTACAAGAGCAAAAGCTTTGGTATCAAGTGACATGGTTTCTAATCTTATCTTAGTTCCTTTCTAGCTGTGGCCTTAAGCAACTTGCCTCACCTCTCTGAACCTGTTTCCTCACATACTGAATGTTTTAGGGAATATCTACCTCTCAGGATTGCTGGGAGATTAGGGACAGTGTCTGCACAATGCTAGGACCTGTCACGGAGGGTGCCCAGCAGGCCAAGCTTGAACCACTCCCAAAGTTGCATGCTCAGAATGCAGATGCTTAGGCTAGGGACCTGATGTCACTGATGCTGGCCCAGTGTCACTCAGGCCAATGGCACTGACATGGAATCTGCTCCAGAGAGCACCTCGTCCAGCCTCTTCACTGGACAGTGGACAGGTGAGGAGGTGAGCCCCAGAGAGGGAAGGTGTTCACTCAAGGCCTCACAGCTTGGTGGTCATGCCAGCAGTGGACCCTGGCCTTAGGGCATCAGGCTTTAGATCAACTGGAAGAACAAAAATAACATGCTTAATCGTAAAGACATTGGAGGAAGATAGCTTGTGTCCTGGCTCACACCATCATTCATTCAATCAATATTCGCTGCATCCTGACATGTGCCAGGCACCACGTTCAACACTGGGGACCCAGAGGAATCAGACCCATGTGTGAAAATTGCCATGTCAGGGCACTCAGAGGCCACTCAAGGCAGGGCTGCCTGAACTGGACATGGGGTCCTGGACATCAAGAAGGAGCCAGCCACACACACAGGAAGGACATCAAGGTAGAGAAAGGACAGGGCCTTGGAGGTCAAGGACAAAAGCTCAGCCTAATTCACAAACAGCATGAGGTCACTGGAGGGCTGGAGCTGACCAGTTTGGTCTCTGGCCTCCTTTTTTCAAATGATCACTCTGCTGTTTGTGAGATAGTGTGACCTTGAGTGAATCGCTTATGCTCCCTGAGACTCCATCTGCTCATCAATAAAGTGGGGATAACTGCATCTACCTCAAGGTCATGGAGACTGATGTGTGAGTCCACACAGAGTGCCCAGCAACGTGCTCCAGGCATTGTGAGAGCCAAGGACAGCTTTGCTTTTTCACACATCACACCCAAAGCCCATGTCCTCCACCAACAGGACACAGCTTGGCCTGGGCCAGCTGAAACCACAGCTTCTCCCAGGCCCATCAGCTGCAACCCCACCTCCCCCCACCCTGGAGGCACCCCAGCCATAGTTGTCTCCCACGGCTCAGATGAGGCCCCTGAGGCTCAGAGAGGACCCTCCTGGGCGCCCCTCCAGGAGAAGGCTCAGACTGAGGGCCTCAGACCAAGAGTCCCGCCCGCGTGACTATACCCTGATTTCTGCCCGGGCCATGGCGCCTCCCCAGCTCCTGCCCAGCTGAGGTCAGCCAGGGGAGGGCAGCGCAGCCCAGGGGCGAGGAGCAGCCAGGCCGGCTCTCAATTAGGGCCTCGCCGAGGGCCTCAGCATCCATCAACGTCACAGCCCCTCTCCTGGGGCTCAGGATATACAGCGCGTCCCAATCGGGGGCCAGCAGCGAGGTCGTGAGGAGCAATAATGGCCTTGGCCGGCTCCTGCGGCCAGATTTATTTGACATAAAGAAACTAATTTAGCTCCTGGCAGTAACAGGCAGCCGGCCCTCTGCGCTTGTAGAAATCCTATTTGCGGGGAGCTGGGGGGGTCTGCTCCACACCTGCCCAGACCCGCCACCCCGGGCAGAGCCAGCTGCACCCCTGGCTCCTGGTGGGCTTAAGGCCTCCCCCCACACGTCGGCGCGCGTGAGAACCCGCGCCCAGGCCGCGAGCGGCCCATGGCGTTGCCACCAGGACCCTCTGGCTTTTGTCCCCGCCCGGCCGGCCTGGCGCTGTGGAGCCAGCCCACCGCCCACTCAGGTTCAAGCCGCAGTTCTGTCCACTAGTGACTGTGACTTTGGGGAGGGGCCCCGCCCCCCACCAACCCCCTTCCTTGGACCTACTGTAAAGAGCAGTGGTCCGGGTTCTGGAACAGATGGAGGCGCCCGTGCCACAGGAGGGGCGGTGGTGACGGCGTTGTTACATGGGCTCCGGTCGTGAGACACAAGAGGGCAAGGCTAGGGTACGGCAGTGTCGGGGGGCTAAGCCTGTCTTCCTGCGATGTTATCTCCAGATCCCACAACCAGCCCTGCAAGCAGGTCCCAAACGGCTGATTTCCTAGATTAGGACGTGGGGTGGATCCAGGCCTGAGCATGGCCCCAGCTGGCAGGGCGTGGGGCAGGGGTGGCGCCCTGAGCAGCAACTCTCCTCCTAAGATCCCCCACCCTCCCCAGTTCCCCTGAGAGGCCAGAGAGTCCCCAAGATCTCCAGGCACACAGCAGCACCACCGCCCACTGCGTCCCCTCCTCCTGCCAACCCCCCCTGAGCCCAGTGCCCCTCACTTGTTGATGGGTCTCCAGGAGCAAAATCAGATGTGCTTCCTGCCCCAAGGAGCTCAACACTTGGGGGGGGGGGGGTGTAGCGAGGAAAGACGTACCCCACTGCCACGCATGCACACACACGCACGGGTTAGCTTTCACAGGAGCCGAGGCTTACTGGGTGCCAAGAAAGAGCATGGCGTCTCGCTTCCATCTGGGGGTTGGCCAGGCAGGTCCTTCCCAGCTCGACCACGCAGCTACCCTCACCAGACACGCCAGCGAGCCAGGGACCCACGACGCCTCACAGCTGAACCTGCTGTTCACGCGAGACGCGGCTTCCGCATGTCCCCAGCCGGCAGAGTCCCAAGAACGCAAAAGCTGCGATCTCAAGGTCTCAGATTCAGAACTGAGCTGACGTCACTTGTGCCACATCTATCAGTCAAAGCAAGCCACGTGCTGAGCCTGGGGTGTGTGACACAGGTTTCTGACCCATCGAGGGAGGCTCAGAGGTCAGTTCCGACCGAGCAGGCTCTGAGATTCAGACCAAGGACAGTGAGCTGTGCGGGGTTGGCATGACGTCTGTCTAACCAATGGACACGCTGGCACACAGGATGCAAAGAACATCGGTACATTTCAGAGCGAGTTTCCATAGGAAGACACTGAGTTCAGAGGCAAGAAGCGTCTTACCCTGGGTCACACAGCAAACCTGCGACAGAACCAAAGGGTCTGTGTCTCCGCCGGCGAGCCCACCCCACCCGCTGAGGAAGCGGAGGCTGGAGATGGGCTGGAGTCTCCAGCTGAGCCAACATCCCGGCAGGGGTGAGCCTCTGCCCTCCACTGTGTGTTAAAGGAGCCTTTCAGCGCACCTGGCACCACGCAAGCCACTTAGTCGCGTCCTCATCTGAACCGAACAGAATTGCTCCTTTTTCAGGCGGGAAACCAGGCCTGACACTGAGAGGTGGGCCTCCCGGGCGGTCCCCACAAAAGCGGGATCAGGGTCCAGACCCTCGGGCGGGAGAGGCAGCTCGGTGGCCCTCGAGGGTCTCGGGATAAAGCCCCCACCGGAGGGGACCAGACCAGGCTCCTGAGTCCCATCCAGTGTTCTCCCACCGCACCGGGAGGCGAGGGACGGGCGGGCCGGCCAGACACACGCAGGCTGCTCTGTGGCATTCAGAGAGCACGTTTATTTACAAAGCACTTTACAAACACCAGCTTTGCCTCCCCACAGCCCCTGCGAGGTAGGTCAGTAGTCATAGCTACAGTTTACGATGGGGATATTGAGGCACGGAATGGGGTGTGTCCCGCCCCATTGGAAAGAGACCTTCCCACCTACCCATCCAAAAATAACAAAATAAACAAAAAGGCATTGATCCTCCATCCCAAAATACACCATCTTCCTTGGAACTCTGGAGGCGGGGAGCACCCCGACCTAGCAGTGCCCCTCTGCAGTGGGCAGCGTAAGCAGGAGCCACAGGGACCTCAACTCCCAGGGCTGTCACTCAGCCTGGACAATAGTCACTGGTGAAAGCTGAGCAGCACCTGGCCAGTGAGGCCCAAGAGTTACAGGCCGGGGGCCGAGGTGACTTCATTCTGCAGACTGCAGGCAGGGAGGGGTCCCACCGAGGGAGAGGCAGGGTGGGCAGATCCCGCGTCAGGAAGCTCAGCTCACAGGTCAGGAAGCAGAAGTGGGAGGGGTGGTGAGCAAAACGTCCCCAGGGCTGCAGGGGACAGCGATGGAGGAGAGCTCCGGCTCACCCTGGGAGAGCCGGTCTGACCTACCCACTCGCAAATCAAGGCAGAGCGCGTCTCGCCAGGCCCTCAGGGGCTGGGCTGATGGGATCATCAGATGCCGAGCCCCCGTGCCCATCTCCCATGTCCAGAGGAAGCCAGGCGGGGTGGAAAGCTTGGCCTGGCACACACTCTAAGGACCTCACTCATCTGCCAAGGCTGGGAGTCAGGGGGCTCGGCCCTGCACCCCCCAGAGCCAGTAGTGCTGAGCCCCTGTCACTTGGCCAGGCAGTGCCAGGCCTCTCAGCACAGGCCCGCAAGACCCGATAGCAGTGGGGCTGGGCTGCCGTCTTGCAAAGCTCCACCTTATCACGCCACCTGCCCACCTGCTGTGGTGAGAGGCCCCACCCACAGCGGACAGGACACCATGTGGGCTCAGTGCCCACTCCCGTGATTTCCCTGTGGGGTTCCAGTGGAGCAGAGTTGGGGGCGCAGGTCGTCCTCGTTGGTCTGGGATGGGGGCTTGGCCCTGAGTGTGCCCCAGGCCAGGGGCCTCGCTATCTTGTCTCCAGCCCCTCCAGGTACTCCAGCGCCACATCATAGCAAAAGTGGTACTGATCCTGGGGAGAGGGAGAGGAGGACATCACCAGGCTGCACCCTCCCCCCGCCGGGGAGCAGCCATTGCTGGTGGGGAGCGGGAGGTGAAGGCAGCCGTTTGGGCATCACAGGACTGGAACCCAGGGCCCAACCGTGGGCCCAGATGTGGGAGCGTGGGCACCAAGGGACCTCGCCAGACATGGGCTGGGCATTGAAGTGGCCGGGCACAGAATGAAGCTTCTCACCAGGGTCTCCACCATGTTGGGCTTATAGTTCCTAAGTGTTTTGGCAGCAAAGAAAACGTCCACCAGGTTGTGGCAGCGGATCATCTCCAGGACCGTGGCGCAGGCGCAGAAGGTGCCACTGCGGCCGCCCCCGTTTCTTCACAAGAGAGGGAGAGAGAGACATTTGGGATTGGGCCTGGGAGGAGCGGGGGCAAGTCAAAGGTGAAAGGCAGGGCCAGGGCAGCCAGGGGGGAGCAGGAGGGAGGAGGAGGCTGGGGGGGAGAGAGAAGGAGGCTGGTGGGGAGAGAGGAGGAGGCTGTGGGGGCAGGAGGGAGGAGGAGGCTGGGGGGGAGGGAGGAAGAGGCTGAGGGGACAGGAGGGAGGAGGAGGCTGGGGGGCAGGAGGGAGGAAGAGGCTGGGGGGGCAGGAGGGAGGAGGAAGCTGGGGGGGCAGGGAGAAGGAGGCTGGGGGGGCAGGAAGGAGAAGGAGGCTGGGGGGCAGGAGGAAGGAGGAGGCTGGGGGCGGCAGGAGGGAGGACCAGGGGACCCAGAGGTAAGTGATAGGACCTCAAGGCGAAGAGGGCACCCAGAGGCATCTAGGAAGACAGAGCTTGCAGGAGAAGCGCCAGCAGGTCTGCCAGGCGGCCAGGCACACTCCAAGACAAAGACACTGAGACAAACACAGCGGCGAGGGGTCGAGTGGGATAGAGCAGACACCAGGAGAGCAGGAGGGAAATGAGCCCCAGGGAGACTGGAAGAGGAGCCGCGACACAGACGACGCAGACGGGGGTGGGCGCACGCGGCGCCAAACCCACAGCCCCCCACACAGCCCCTCCTCCCGGCTGCCTGCGCTGCGCTGCGGGTTCCGCTTAGGAAGTGGGGGCCGGCAAGCCGCTGCAGGCCGGGGCTGCTGGACTCACTTCGCACCCAGTACGCCCTGCCTGGCACCGGCAGGCGCAGTAACGCTGAAAGCGTGGGGGGCGGGGGGGCACCCAGACACAGGTGAGTGGGTAAACTTATGAGTGAGGCGGTGAACGAAGCCATGGAGAAAGCTGCGCGAACCAAGACGGAACTTCACGGCTACCTGAGCATAGCGTAAAACAAAGACACAAGGCTGAACTGGCGAAGCCAAACACCCCGCCGAGGGCAACTTTCAGGGTGCAAACTGACTAGGTTCCCCCAGAAGCGGCAGGGCCTGCTCGCCTGGTGAGGCAGAGCCAGGCAGCTGTCGGCCACCGGCCACCGGGGCCCTGGTGCCAGCCCCAGGCCCTCTCCCGCGGAGCGCGGCTCCCTGACCCTCGCCCAGCCCGAGGAGGCGGCACTCACAGGCAGTGCACCACGGTGCGCCCGTCCCCGCTCTCCGCCTGCCACTTGTCCACCTCGGCCAGCAGGTGCAGGAAGGCCTTCTTGGAGTCGGGCGTGTCCCGGTACGCCGACCAGCGCAGAAACTGGAAGTGCCGCACCAGCAGATGCCCCTCCTGCAGCTGGGGGCGCGGGCAGCCAGCAGGGGGCGCATGAGCGTGGCCGGACCAGGCCACCTGTGACCTTCAGAGGGCCACGGAAGCCACCCCAGATCCTTGCCCTGGGCTCCCAGATCACTTACCCGAGAGATGTTCTGCACCCGGAAGACACGGGCCACCAAGTCCTCATCCGCTGTCCCTGACACGAACTCCACCTCCATGAGGCCATACTGCTGCCGGCCGGGCTCTGGCCAGTACTGCGGGCATGGCTGGGGGTGCAGCGGAGACAGGGAGCTGAGCAGGCCAGGCTGGGGCAACTGCTGCTCACGCCCACACCCCCAGACCTCCACACCCCCTGGGCCCCCCCTACACTGATCTAGCTGCTCACTCCAGACTCATCTTCAGAGACACCCCCACTTGCAGACTCCCCCGTCAGACAGAGTGCACCCCTGCACCACTGTATTCTGCACAGACACTCGGGGCAGAGCTGAACATCAGCACTTCCAGGGATCTCCCGCTTTGGATCTCCAAAAGGTAACGGGGTACCCCTCTGGCCACCCTAAGCCAAAGGCACCAAGCAAGTGTCCGAACCAACCTCAGAAGCAACTCTCCCCCTCATCGTCTTCACCCCGCATGCGCTGGGCGCCTAGTACATGCTAAGCAGCCCTCATACATCCATGAGGCAGGAACTGTGATAGCCCCCATTTCACAAAAAGGAAACTGAGGCTCAGACAGACCAGTCAGAACATAAGGCGGCTGCAATTTCTGTGTCAAAGCCCCCAAGATGCGCAGTCTAGTTGAGAGACCAAAAAAGCAGCAGCCCTGGAAGGAGCTGCTGGGGTGAAGGCACAACTTGGCTAATTCAGCTCCCAAGCTCGGAGAACTTGCTTCACCGACCTGGGGCTTACCTGCCTCACCTGAAGCCGGTGAGCATAAAGCAACATCCCTGGCACACGGCAGGTGCTCAGGAACAACCACCAGCTTCTCTCCAACCCGACAGCGTCATTTTACAGACAAGGAAGCCAAGACTCCGGAGAGAGGTGACCTGTTTAAGGAGCCCCTGACTTTGGGGGAGCCCTCGTGCACACACTGGGGCCCCGGGCAGCAGGCAGCCTGCCTGCCCGGACAGTGGGCACCCACCCAGGCAGAGTTGGACTGGTGCAGCTGGTTGAGCATGACGATGGAGGTGCAGCCGTAGTCGTAGACCAGCCGCCAGAAGTCGGGCGTGGTGCTCTGCAGCGGGTGCAGGGTCACGATGAAGGCCGCGCTCTGGGTGTAGCTCTGCAGGGAAACGGGACTCAGCGGGGCTGCTCACACCCTGCCCGGTCCTCTGCACCTGCCCGGCCCCCCACTGCTCTGCCCAGCCCACTTCAGAGACTGGCTCCTGGGCCTTCCCAGAGACTGCTGAGTGTAGGAGTCCCAGAGCCCACCCCAGCCCCGAGCCCTCACGTCAGTCAGGGCCGCATTGATGTAGTTGTTGGGGTCCCCGTCGGCAGAGATGAGGAAGGGCAGGCAGCGGTCGGGCGGCAGGACGTCCATGCTGCGGTTCTTGTCCCGGTTCCGGGGCAGCAGGGCGATGCTGCACTCCTCCACGTCCAGCGGCGGCGTGACCGAGTTCAGGGTCTGCGGGGGTGCGAGAGGGTCTATGGGGGTGACGTTCCTCCTGCTTGGCCCTCAATGACTCCTAGAGCACGAATGGCCAATGCACACACACGCGCGCGCGCACACACACACACACGCTCACAAACCACACCTACACACCTATACATGCACAGTGGAGCCCCACCTGGAACTCCTCCCGCAGCTGAGAGGAATTACTCTGAGGGTCAATGCGGATCATCTCCTTATAGGTAGCCTTGAACTCACTGACAGGGATGGTGGTCTCCCCGCACAGGCAGGCCTCCAGGATTGCATCGTGGATGAAGATGTACTGCTCCTAGAATGCGGGCCAAGAATATGAGGAGCCAGAAGGGGACTAGAAGCTAGAGGCTTGGGGAGCAAGCTTAAGGCTGAGGGGGTGCTCTGAGGTAGCACCCAACCATGTGTTTCTACAGGCTGGATGAACCCCACGTGAAACCACCTGCGTCCCTGCATCAGCCTCATGAGAAGTTGTGAAGGGGAGAGGACAACCCAGGGTCACGTGTCTAGTGAAGCTACAAACACCATCTCTGCACTGCAGGAACTATGGCCTCGGCCCTCTGCTGTTTGGCCTGACCCCTCAGAGCACAGGGGAACTGAGTTTGGGAAGACCCTCAGAGGTCGGCAGGTCAAGTTCAGGGTCGGGAGAGAGGAGGGGGAGGGCCTAGGGAGGAGAAGAGCGAAGGACACCCTCTGACATGCCCACCAGCTTTGCATGCCTCTACGAGGAACCCGCGTGCTGGAGGGCAGGGAGTAGGGGGCTGTGTCCCCTACCTCCGTCTGGATCATGTTGACACGCCGGGAGCAGAGGGTCTTCACACAGTTGTAAATGTCCACCACGCCCTCGCACTCCGCCATGTCCAGCATCACATCCAGAACAATGTAGCAGCCTGTGCGCCCAGTGCCAGCGCTGGGGAGAAACCAGCCCCAGGCCAGCTCAGAGCCTGGGGAGACAGCCCAGGACCAAGAAGACGAGAACAGGGAGGGCTGGAGAACAGAGGCCACCTTCCCCGTCTATACCACGCCACGCGGGGGGATGGGGTACCAGAGAGACCCCATGCTGCTCCCAGGGGGAACCAGGGAGAAGGGACAGAGCTGGGGGTGTGTCCTGGGGAATGCGAGGAGGAAAAGTGTAGGGAGGATGCAGAGGGCAGTCAGCAACTCTGAACAGAAGACAAGGACAAAGGTGAAGCTCAAAGCTTAATCCAAGAACATTCCTGCCTCCTGGGTCTCCCTGAATCTCCTGAGCATCTTTCAAAGCCCCACACATTCGTGCCCACTCACATGCCCGGTGGGACACTGTCATTCTTGTGTTGCCAGAGCAGCGACACAGGCTCTTATCATCCCCCCCTCCTGCCGCTCCTGTGGCCGCCTCTCTGGCCTCCCTGGGCTGAGACTGGGAGCTCACTGCCGTGGGACTGTGTGGGTATATCTCTGGGACCCCCACACTCAGCACCAGACAGAGCTGAGTTTAGGGGAAGGGAAACAGATGGTGATGACACCAAGATCTCAAGCTTGAAATTGGTGGTACTGAAGTGCTGAGGATGAAGCGACCAGGTCCCCCAAACACTGGGGGTCGACATTCAGAAGATGCCTGTGGAAAACTGTTCGGACCTATTAAACTGGATGTTTGCACAAGACAGCAATTCCGCTCCTCTACACACCTACACCAAAAGCCAATGTGTGTTGGTCAAAAGACATGAAATAAAATGTCCTCAGCAGCAACTTAGCATAATAGCTTAAAACGAGCAAACTCCCAGATGCCTCTCCACAGCAGAATGCATAAGACACACTGTGGTTTATTCATCTAGTGGGATGTGATGCAATGCAATTGGAGAAATCGTACACGCAGAAGGCTGAAGGAAAGATATCTGACACCAAAGAGCACCTGCTGTATGATTCCACTTACACAAAGTTCAAAAATATGCAAAACAAATCTGTGGCTTTGAAATCAGGACAGTGATTGCCGGGGAGGGTGGGAGTGAGACGCCACAGGCGGGAAGGGAGGGAGGGGACTTCTGGGGCCACTGAGGTTGTTTCTTGATCTGAGTTGTGCTGGTTATTTCATAGGTGTGTTCAATTTGTGAACATTCATAGCTACACATACACTTATTACTTGTGCTCTTCACTTTTATTATACATCAGTAAATTTTAACCTAAAAAGATGGCATCTTTTATGGGTCCTCCCTGGTAGTGCAACGGATTAAAGCGCAGCACTGTGAAGTTAGCAGCAGCTGCTTCAACACGAGTTCCATCCCTGGCCAGGGAGCTGACCCACATGGCACAGAGACCTCTCCTGTCCGCCCGCTGCTCCCCTCAGCAGTGTATTTCAGTCGATCTGCCTGTTCTGCTCTCCCCTCTGTCTCTGGTGAATTCTCTCACCTCTGTACCTCTGGCCCATACCCCAGTTCTGTATGAATAAATTAATAAGTCTTAAAAAAAAGATAGCATATTTAAAAAAATTAAAGTTACACGGTATTACCTTAAAGAGAGCTAAGAAACCAAAAAGAAGCTGGTTTGTGGGGGCAGGCAGGGGGAGGCATCAGGGGACAGGTCAGGGCACTGAGCTAGGCTGAAGCCACAAGAGAAAGACAGAGGAGGGAGCAGAGACAGGAGAGGCGACTGGACTCCCAGGAGTTGTAAAAGGAGGGAGAAGAAACCAGAGCTGCCGGAGGCGAAGGCCAAGGAGTAAGGAAAGCCCACTGTTCAGGGGAGAGAGGGCAAAATCCCTCCCGGCACCGGGCCAGACTAGAACGCTTGCTGAATGGAGGCCAGCGAACCCCATCCCGCCTGGTGCCTGAACAGCCCCATTCCCTCTGTCTCCAGCACATGTGGACTCTTGGGGCTCCAGAGGCTTCGGGGAGCACATGCAGGTGCAGCTCTCAGCGTCCAAGCTCAAAGGGCAAAAGCTCCTGGGGGCCATCGCTCCTGCACTGCCTCTAAACACGATGCAGCCAGCCCAGGCTCCGCGGGGAGCAAAAGCCACCCCTCCCCTGGCGCCAGCTCCCCACCTGCAGTGGATGACAATGGGCCCGGCATCAGGTGGGGTGGAGGCCTTGACGCGCCGGATGAAGGCCAGCAGCCCGGTGGCGTGGTAGGGAACGCCGTGCTCCGGCCACGCCGTGAAGTGGAACTGGTGGACCTCGTGCCGGGCAGAGTAGCCTCTCTGGGGAGACACGAGGAGTGACGGCAGGGTCACTGCTGCGTCTGTCAGACACTGTGTGCCAGGCGCTGCGGTGAGCGCCTCACCGCGGGGTCTCAAGGGATCCCAAGAGTCAACGGACACAGCGGGCGCTTGTGACTCATTGCACCGGAGCGAAAACGTGGGCTCAGAGAGGGGGTTCCCGCCTGAGGTGGGCGGGTTAGATAGACAGCCGTCATGTGGGGCTGTGACAGTAACGGCCCATCTCCACCACCTCGTTGTGGTGAACCCTGGGAGATGGTCTCTATTCTCTGGTCTTAGTCGAAAGGGGGACATCTGTCCTTCCTCTGCGGAGCCCAAGGGAGGGTGGCCAGGGCCCCGCTGGCCACCGGCGCGTGGCTGTCCTGGGCGGCGCCACCTCGCTGCTCCTGGCATCCTGACCGCCAAGTGAGACTGTGGTGAACTCTGACCCTGCAGAGCTTTCCGAGGCTGGGCAATGTGTGCAACGGGCTGAGCAAGGAGCCCGGCAGCAGCTGTCCTACTTCATCATCTCGACTTCCTCTGAGAGTTGTCAGCCAAGTGGCCACCATCCCACTTCCACGATGCTCCCTGCAGTTACCGAGAAGCCGCCTTGCTGGGGAGGGCAGCAGCACCCGCCTCAGCCTCAGGCTCAGAGAGGGGGTGCTGGAAGCCATGGGGAGGCGGACTCCATCTAAAGGGACCGGGGAACAGGAGACTCACCCGCTCCAGGGCAAAGGTGCGCACGACATATTCAGCGAGCGTCTCCGTCTTCACCAGCGTGATCTTGATGTCCCCGTACATGTCCGAGTCGTCCGGCCAGTAGCGTGAGCATTTCACCTGGAGACCCCACGCACAAGCTAGGAGGGCTCCTCACTGGCCGCGGCCCACCCTGCTGTCCTCACCTGCCAGCCCCGCTTACCCTGCCCACCTCTACCAGCTTGGTGATCATGACGATGCTGGAACAGTGTTCCTGCCACACCATGCGCCAGAAGTCGTAGATCATCTCGGGCTTCGGCCCTGGGGGCGCACAGGGGACTTGTCTCTGATACCAGGTCTCCACCGAGGGCCGGCACATCTGCTGCCCAGAACCACCAGCCCAGGCCAGGATGTTCCTGAGCCCCAGTGGGGACCTTGTGCTCACCCCACATAAGACCCCAACCACCAAGTGACGCCTGGAGGGCCCTGGGATGGGAAGTATCAGGCTGGGGACTCCGGTCATCCTACGTGGAGCCCACACGGCAGAGCTGAAGGGTGATACCCTCAGTTCATGGTGTAAGTCGCCAGCAGGGAGAGACAGATGGGAGGTGAGGGGGAAAGACACAGCCAGAGGACCAGGCAGCGCCAGACCGAGAGGCACAGCCACAGCCCTGAAGGCCAAGCCTGGCCAGTCCCTTTGCATGCACCACTGTGGAGACAAACAGATGCCCGGGGAGATGCAGATGACCCGAGCGCTGGGGAGGGCTCACACAAGAGGAGGTGGCAGCTGTGGCCAGACTCCAGAAAACCAGCCAGAGTGGGGGTTAGCCAGGCAGGGAGATAGACAGACAGACGGACGGGGAGTCAGCAGGGCAGGCAGAGAGCATTCCAGCACAGGGACACACGGGGGCCCACGCAGAGGTGCCGGGTACCTTGAGTGGCGATGAAGTGGTTGGACCTGTGGTAACCCTGGAACAGGAAAAGAGGGCGTGTCAAAAAAAAAAAAAAAAAAAACAGGGAGCAGCCCCAAGTAAGGAGGGAAAGAGCAGCTGGGACATCAGTGTTACAGGCATAAACCCACTCCAGGAAGGACACTCCTATAGGGGTCTGCAGTGTCCCCTGTCCACAAACTAGGGGTAATTATCCCAAACCTGCTTGCAACCCAGTTGCGGATTGAAGACGAAGTGCAGGGTGACCCTGCCCTGTCCCAAAAGCCCCAGAGGCCTAGACCTTGGTTAGTGCCAAGCCCAGATCTTGTCAACCATCCCAGCCCCTCTCAGGGCAGGTTGGGAGCAAATGAACACTGAGGTCGCCCTTGACCCTCTCATAATTGTTGTTCAGTCTTTCAAAGGAATGATCTGATCATGCACTGTGCTAAGCACTTTGCCTGCATGCTCTCCCGCAAAAGAGAGGCCACGAGTTGCTTTGTCCTCCATCCCCAGAGCCCTCAGACTGAGAAGAGGAGCCAGCCAGATCTCCCATGCCAGCCCTCGGGCCACAGCTGTCCATGAAGCCCTGCCCATCCTTCTGGGGCACCGAGCCCAGCCCACACTCAGGAACCCCCCAGGGCAGGAAAGAAGGGCTGAAGGGCCAATGCGAGAAAACAGCCAGGCCCAGCCACACCGAAACACAGCCCCCTGAAAGTCCTCTGGCCCTGTGGGCTCCCCAGGTCCTGGGAGCCCTGGAGTCAGACTGCCAGGGTTCAAATCCCAACTGCAGGTTGCTCTCGCTAGCTGTGTGCCTGCAGCAAACCTGCCTTCTGGATACCCTAAGCCTCCCAGTGCTAAAACAGAGTGACAGCGCCACCCTGCCCCTGCTGCCGGGAGGAGTGCGTAGGGGCACCGGACTGTGGCCAGGGCCTGGCGCTGTGGCAGGCAAAGGTCCGCACTTGTCATGGCCAAAGAGCACCCCTGAAGATCTGAAGAGTGGATTCCTGGGACATCGAGGTTAAGAATCTGAGTCTCAAAGTCAAGCTGACCCGGGCCCCTGTGGAGCTCAGCCCAGCAACAGCCATGCAGCTCTGGCCACTAAGAGGCCACTTCTCAAACTGGAATGTGCACGTGAGCCCCCTTTCCCCCCAGATCTTGTTAAGAGGTAAATTCAGATTCAAAAGGTCTGAGTGGCTTGGGGTTGTGTATATCCAACCATTTCCAGGTACAGGCAGCATTGGGCCTCAAAACATTGCAGAGCCAGGCTCCCAGCCTCGAAAACCCTGTCTTCTGCAAGCTGTGGGGTGACAGGACCTGCGCCCCAGTCTGTCACCTCCACACCCTTCCCCTGGAGTGGCCAACACAGTAAAATCCGCCCACGATGAAAAGACCCCGCGGACCACTGGGAGGCCTCCCTCCCCGACTAAGTCCCGCCTGACTCCTGCCTCTGTGTCATGTCCCCCGCGGAAGTGATGCTCAATTGGGGTCAGAGGGAAAGGCAAGGGGGGGCTGGGGACAGCCCCCAGAAGGTACTGCCACCAGGGGCCACTCTTCCATCCCCAGCGCTGGCCATGGGAGGCAGGGAGGACAGGCCACCCGCCTAAACCCAGTTTGCCTAAGAATTCCCCGTGAGAACAAGTGTCTCCGTCCAGCCCGTGCCCACACAGTGCCACCTCCCAAAAGGCTGGCCGGGAGACGCAAGATTTTAGACAGCTCTAAACCTTCCTCTGGCGTTAACTTTTGCATTGCACCATGCACTACTGCACAATCGCATCACAGAGATGTCGCTGAGCTGGGGAGTTTAGAATGGCGCGATGCAGGTGATGAGCCTGCCTGCACCGGGCCTCCCACGCGGGTGTCGGCATGTCCCAGAGCCCTCCTTGGGGTCTGTGGGGGTGCTGGGGGCTGAGCCTGGCATCGACACCCTGGTGCAGGGCCTAGGCTGGGCGGGAGGCCCAGCTCTGCCAGTTCAGGGCAGCACAGTGGTGGCATTCCCTTAACTTTTCTAAGCTTCTTTTTTCTTATCTGCCAAAGCAGGTTCCCACCTTGCAGTGCTGAAGAGAAGAGGGTAAAGGGCCTGGCCCAGAGGGGCGCTCAGCTGCTGGGGGGCACTGACGTGCTAATGAGGAAGCCAAGTCTTTCGAGAGCATTTGTAAGAAACAAGAAACCAAATGGGTGGGGTGAGGTGTGTGCCATGGAAATTGAGCTGGGAAGTGTGGCCGCCCGGATTCACTCCCCACCCAACTCGGGCGCTGGCTGGTTTGCAGGCCCTTCGTGGGCCTGACAGCCTGTCTGAGTCTGAGAACCTCACAGACCAGCTGTGATCACACAGAGGAGGGCAGTCTGGGGCACGTCTGATGACGGGCATCTCTGAAGTCGCCACCGTGGGGACTTATCACTCTGTATACTGAGCACCTCCGTGTTGTCTGAAAGCCTCATCGTGAACTGTGTTGTTTACAATCGTAAAAGAGCAAGAGTTTGAAAGGAAACAAGGAGCTAAAACAGAGAAGGTACCCACAGAAAAAGCAGATACTCCCCATCAGCCAGTGGGTGTTACAACAATAACACGTCTGCTAAGGATCGAGTCAGAGGTTCGTTAAATGAATTAGGTTTTCTTAAATATTCTCAAAAAGTCAAAAGATGACATAATTGTAAAAAACTGAGTAGCCATATTGCTCCCTAGAAATAAAATACTCAACTTAGGGCTCCGTTGAGGGCAGAGTGGTTGGAGTTGAGTTTCAAGCAAACCGATCACAAAGGGACTTGAATACAAGGAAGCAAGCTGGAGAGGCCTGGCCAGGCCATCATGCTCTGGAAGCAGCCAAAAGTGGCCATCCAGGGCAGCCTCCTCCCACCCTCCCCAGGCCCATAGTAGCTAGTGAGGACTCAGGAAGAGGAGGGCTGGGGGACAAAGGTGACAGGTGGTTGTCGGTACAGAATGGGGCCCGGGACAGCACCCCCACACTGATGCCCTGTGTGGGGCAGTGGAGGAGGGGGAGGAGGCGCTTATAATAGGGGAGGTGTCACATCTCAGCCCTGGGCGGCCCTCACCAGGCTGCTGAAATGGACGGCCAGTGTTAGGCACAGGAGTGGACAAGAAAGAGGACAGAGACAGAGAGAGACAGCCAGAGACTGTGAGAGTCTGAGATACAGCTGGTCAGACAGACAGGAGGAGGAGGAAGGGAGTGGGGGGAGGGGAAGGAGAGGGGAGATACTTACTTCTCGGTTTATCCGAATCTTAATGATTCCAGTGAGGGAACAGTATAAAGCAAAAGAGACAGCTATTAGGCCAGAGGCAGATGGGTAGACAGAGCACAGGAGTGGCCAGAGGGGCGATGCGAGCAGGGAAGGCAGAGCAGAGACGGGTGGGCCTGGCAGGCGGGAGAGGGGTGAGGGGTGTGTCCCTGCCGAGGCCCGAAAAGAACTGACTGGGACCTTGAGGAGACCCAGGAGAGGCCCCTGTCACCAAAGCTGCCCAGGTCTGAGAGGCCAGGCCCAGCCCGCACCCCAGGCGAGGGCGAGGACGGGAGCGAGGGAGAAGGCAAGGAATCCCGGAAACCATGGGGAGCGTGTCCGGCCCCCACGAGCAGGTGAAGAAGACGGGGAGGGCGGTGATCTGCAGAGTCCCTGTGCACCCTGGCTCCCAGACACACACCTTCCTCTTCCTGCGCCCTCGGGCCTTTGCTCAGGCTGCCCCACCCTGGGCGCACCGCTTCCTTCCTTCCTCTCCAGCCACCCAGCACCAGCTGGGTGGCTCCTCCCCAGGCCCTGGTCCCGCCACCCACTTGCTGTGTGACCCTGGGACTGTCCTTCCTCTTTCCTGGCCTGTCTTCCTCCATCTACTCTGAAGTTATTTTATTGGGGGTATGCTTATGTCTCCCCGGCTAGAATCGTGCTGCTCACTGATGTAGCCAGCATGCTGCCTGGCACAACCAATACGTGACTCTCTCAAACACGGCCCATTGTAGGTGGGGGGGAGTCTGGCCAGACTCCTGGCCCCACCCTCCCTCATCGGTACTTGGGGAGCAGACACAGAGAAGCTACGATTTGAGCGCCTTCTCGACCACTCACTAGCTGTGTGACCTAGGACAAGTAGCTTCACCTCTCTGATCCTGTTTCCTTACCTCTAATGTAATACAGGTGTATTATGACTTATGTATGATATTATAACAGGGGTCAAAATGCCACCTAGTAGGGCAGGGTTTACATACAATTATATATGCTATAAAGTGCTTAACACAGTCCTTGGTACGCAGTACCTGCTGGATAAACATGAGTTATTATTCTCAAAGTTCCACCCTGGCCATGGTCAAGACACTTTCGGTGACCCCCTGTGTCCCTAGGAAGGAGCCCAAACTCCTTGGCCTGCCATTTGAGGCCATCACAGTCCAGCCTCTGCCTACTTCAGCCTCACTGTGTATCAGGGAATCTGACCTCTGAGCCCATGGGCCCCTGTGGAGAGGGGACCCTGCCTCACCTCCAGGCCTAGCCATGGACCCTCTCACCATCGTTCTGCTTTACTGAAGGTCCCATCACTGAGGTCAAGTCCCGCCTGTGGGAGCCTTCCTGCAGTACCCCCTCCTCCAACCTCCCTGGCACTGACTGCAAGAGGCAGGGGCGCTGGGAACCCAGCTATGTGAAGCTCATGTATCCCCAACAGGCCCCTGCCCCTGCCTGGACTGTGAGCTGGAGCGGGCAGGGCGGGTCAGTGGCGATGGCAGGCACAGCACTCACGTCTATGTAGTTGGCGTTAATGTAGTCGGCATCCGGGTCTCCCAGCATCGGGTGGAGTTTCACTCGGTGCCGATCATCTGGAAAAATACAGCGCAGGTGCCATGGGATGGGCAGGGGCAGAAATAAGAAGCTCGGAGCTGGGGCAGGCAGGGCGGGTTTGCTCGAGGCCAGGGTGGGGCCAGGCCCGGGCTGAGTGGCGGGCTCTTGGCACCATGGAAAGCAGAGGGCCGGGATCTGGGCTCTGAAGTCAAGGAGGCCCAGGGGCATGTGGTGTGCGGCAAATGTGTGCGTGCGCTCAGGCAGGGGCCTGACCTCTAAGTCTCACTTTCCTTATCTGTAAAGTGGGGGTGACAACATGTCCCATATCACACTCTGGCTGTGCACCCCTTCCTGCTCCCTCCCGCCCTCTGCCCCACACCACAAGACTCACAGGTGGGGATGGGCTCCTGCCGGCTGCCCTTGACCTTGTCTTTCTTCTTTGTGGCATCCCAGCCTTCAAAGAAGCTCTGCCAGAGGGAAGGTGGTGGTCAGGAGGAGGGAAACCCCTCACTCATACGCCCCCGCCCCTCAGCCTGTGTGATAGGAAGAATGGGACAGGGTCAAAGGTCAGGTTGAGGACAAGCTTGGGGCCTGAAAGAAAGTCACTGGACATCTTTTATCAGAGCGGGACCAAGCCCAGAACCAAGGGTGGGGGCGGGGAAGTGAGAAAAGAGGGGCAGAGACATTTCAGAATGAGTCAGGTGTAGTGGGGAGGAAACAGAAATAAAGCTCGGATGAGGGCGGTGCTGGTGTCCAGATGGAGGTGGCACAGGATTCCAGCACGGACGAGGGCTGAGGGCGGGTCACACTGCCGCTCACCGCAGAAGTCAGGGTTTGCGTTCCAGGGAGGGTTGGGAGGGAGCCAGGGTCGCGATCCAGAGCAGTGAGGCCGAATTCAGGGCAGGGTTGGAAAGTGGAAACCAGGTCGGTCTGAGATTAGGAGGAAGGGTGAGATCAAAAGGGGTGGGCTGAGCGGGGGGCCTCAGAGGAGAGTCGCAGCAGCTGGGCTGTGGGGTGCCAGTGTCTGGTCCACGAGAGGAGGCGCTGGGGGAGGCGCGGGCGGGCCCGCGGGCTGGGGCCATGCACCTGGTACTCCTGCTTGAAGCCGTAGCCCTCTGCCGTCCTCATCTGGTTAATGTGCTGCAGGAGGTCGGCCACACGCACGGCGGGATGCAGCTGCCCCGTGTGGTACGGGGAGCCCTTCCGGCCACATGGACGCCTTGGTGAACCCCCCAAGAGACTGCTGGCCTCGGTGACCCCACCGCTGCGCCGGTCCCCTGTAGTCAGAGAAAGGGAAAGAGGGTCCTGGCTGGGTGGCCACAGATGGACTGGCGGGGCCGAGGGAAGGAAGGGGGCACCACCGTGCAGGCCAGCTGGGTGGTTCTCTGGCGCCAAGCAGGCTAGCCGGGCCCAGCCTGGGGGGCCCTGGCTTCTGCTCCTCGGTTTTCCCTTTGTAAAATGAGTGGGTCAGAACACACGACCTCTGAGGGCCCCTGGGCTCAGCCTGCCTGCTGGGATCCCGGGATCCCCCATTCCAGCCCCCTGCTCCCCAGCAGGACCTCATCCCTGACTTCACCACGCCGCCTGCAGGGGGCAGCACTCAGCAGACCCCGAGAACCACGCGCCCCACCCCCCACATCTCCCTTCTTCTTTCCTTCCTCTCCCTCTTCAAAGGAACAGTCTGGAACACTGGCAACTCCTAGTAATTACTCCCATTCAAAGACAAGCCAATCCCGAAATTAGCTGCCGCCACCCCCTCTGCAGATAAATGCGAGACACCTGAATAGAGGCGGCGTTTCTCCTGCGCCAGCGTTTCCATTGTCAGCCTGTGCGGCAGCCTCAGCCAGTCAGGGGAGGTTGAGGGGGTCACAGTGCCCCCCACACCCGGAGAACTACCCCTCCCCCAGGCCCGCCCACTCTCTGGCTCTTCAGGGTCTGCATCCCCAGGACGTCCCAGCTTGGGGCCCGAGGTCAAGTCCTGGGGGTGCAGAAACCAGCCCCCTTCAAGTCACACCACCTTGGACACTGGGTCCCACAACACTCTTAATGCTCATCTCCCTGCTGGAAAAGGCGTGGGGTCTAGGGGACTCCACTGGGGCCTGGATGCCGGCCCCTCCATTCCTGTGCCTTCGCACATGCTGTTCCCTCCCTTCCCCGCCAACTCCCTTCCCCTCCTCTTCTGGCCTGGTGAGCTTACACTCATCTTCCAGGTCACAGTCAAATCAGCCCTCCTTGGGGAAACCCTCCGCAGGGCTGGCCTCTGCGTCGGTGACACCTAAGTGTGTGCCCCAGCGCCCAGACAGAGCCCAGTGCAGCTCTGCTTCCCAGTCCCACCTGTCCCTTCAAATCTGGGGGAGAGCGCACCTGCCTGCGCCCCCCCACCTGTATCCCCTTCTTCCTTCACCACCTTTAAACGTCCACTTGGGCCCTCCCTTGTGGCACAACAGGTTAGGACACAGACTGCAAGCTAGCCTCAGCCACTTCAGTGTGAGTTCAATCCCTGCCCCGGAGGTGACCCACAAGGGGCGGCAGATGTCTCCTGACCTGCCCGCTGCTCCCCTCAGTAGTGTACTTTGTCAACCTGCCCATTCTGCTCCCCACTCTGTCTCTGGTGAATCCCCCTGCACCTCTGGCCTATACCCCAGTTCTGCATGCGTAAGTAATAAATAAGTCTTTTAAACAAAAAAAAAGTCCACCAATGGCAGTGCTCACCCCACATGTACCTCCTCCCTCAGGAGCCAGTCCCAAGCTGTTGTTCCCCAGTGTCTGAAAAACAGCTGTTTCCTACTCTGGAGGGCAGGCAAATCACAGGCAATTTACACCCTGTGGTCAGATGCCAAATCTTTAGTTTTACAGGTGGAGAAGCCACAGTCCAAGGATATAGTGTGATAGTTGCCAATGTATGTTCCAGAAAACACTAGTCCTGCCAGATGACTAAGTGGTATTCCATTAAAAAGAAGAAGAGGAGGAGGCAAGGAGGGCTCAGTGAAATTCTGTTTTAAACAAAAATAAGTGGTTCTTTTCTCTGTCAGACCACTCAAGCTTCCAACATGTTAAGGTGCATTTCAATCTCTGGGTGGTGAGTAGAAAGAGGAAGTGGCAACAAGCGGGGTTCGTTTATTTGTTTCATGAAACAGCCTCCGGGCAGCACAATGTAATATGATTAAGACAGGCTTTGGGCTCAGCTGACCACAGATCAAAGCCCAGCTCTGCATGTGACCCCCAGGATTTTAATTACTCTCTCTAAACTAAGATGTAACAGGAAAGGATTTCTGCTCGGAGAACTCTCAGCCATGAGTCTTAGTGGTCTTTGGGGAAACCAGGTCTACAGTGCCAGGGAGCTTTCCAGGTAGAGAGAGGGGCAAGGAGGCCGTGGCCGCTCATCCAGACATAGCTTCACAAGCAGGAGGAGATCAGCTTGCGAGGACTGAAGACAAGCAAAAAATCCCCCCTCCTGAGAAACCAGAGCCAAATCTGGACAGCTTGCAGCTGAGCTCAAGAGCAACACAAGATGTTCTACAAACAATGTTCGACCACAGATCTTTCCATAAAGAAAACAACAGAAAAACATTGTTTTGTAGGTGAATTCCACCAAACTTTCAAGGTGTCAAATATCCAACGTCTCATAATAAGGAATAAAGAAAAGAAGCATCAGTGCATTTTATAAAGAAACTTGAGGCCCTCCCTGGTGGCGCAGCGGGTTAAAGCCCAGCACTGAGAATCTAAAGCCGCTTCCGCATGAGTTCGATTCCTGCCTGCCCCGGAGGTGACCACATGGCGTGGCAGACCTCTCCTGACCCGCCCGCTGCTCCCCTCAGCAGTGTACTTCGTCGATCTGCCTGTTCTGCTCCCCACTCTGTCTCTGGTGAAGCCTCTCGCCGCCCCTGAGCCTCTGGCCTGTACCCCAGTTCTGTATGCACAAATAAATAAATCTTTAAAAAAAAAAAAAAAAGAAACTTGATACTAAGAACAAGTTAAGAATATTATGATAAAGAACAAATTATGGACCAATCTCACTTTAAAATCTTAAACAACAGTATAATTACCCTGAATCAAACAATACATTAAAAAAATAATGCATCTTGACCAAGTTTGGTTTACCCCAGGAATTTAAGATTAATTTAATATCAGAAAATCTAAAAATCACCTCATTAACAAACTGAAAGAGAAAATATGACATTGCAGTAAGTGCAGAAAAAAGCATTTGGTAAATGGAACATCCATTTAAAATAAAATCTCTTAACAAACTAAAAACCAAAGGAATTTTGTTTATTTCATAAAGCATTTCTACCAGAGACCAACAGTAAATTTTATTCTCTATGTTTTAATGTTAGAAACAGTCCTTTTAAAATCAGAAAGACCAGGATTTCTGCTACAACCACTTCTATTCAACATAATCCTGTCGATTCTAGCCAGTGCCAGGCAGAAAGATGGGGTGGCGGGGGAGGTAAGAAAACAGAAAGAAAAAAACCAAATTGTCAGTATTTGCAGATCCTTTGATTACACTCAGAAAACCTAAAAGAGTCTACAGACAAATCAGAATTTAAAAAGCTTATCAAGGAGTATGGATAGAAGACCAAAATATATACATACAAAAATCAACTACATTTCTCTACACGTGCAACAATTAGAAATGTGTTATTTTAAAAGAGCGCCATCTGTGCTGGGGAAACTGGATGTCCACATGCCAGAGGATGAAGTTACACCCCTGTTTAACACCATACACAAAAACTGACTCAACATGGATCAAAGATCTGAATGGAAGAAATAAAATTATATGATTCTGAAAAGGCATGGGGCAAAGCTCATGACATTGGATTTAGCAGTGATTTCTTGGTGATGACACCAAAGGCACAAGCAAAGAAGAAAATAGAGACAAACTTCATGAAAATTTTTAAACTTTCTATCAAAAGACATAATCCACAGAGTGAATACGGCAACTCACAGAACGGGGGGAGATATTGACAAACAATATAGCCAATAGAGGGTTAATACCCAGATACGTAGAGAACTAGTAACACACAATAACAACCCAATTCAAAAGTGGGCAAAGGGCTCAAAAAGCCATTTCTCCAAAGAAGATACACAATAAGTACATGGAAAAAGGCTCAACTTCACATCATTCAACATGAAGAAGCTACTAATCAACACTCAACCCCACCTCAGGTCCATTAGGATAACTACTATCAAAAAAAGAGGAGATGATAAGTATCCGTGAGATATAGAAGAAGTGGAGTTCTTGTATGTTATTAGTGGCAATGTAAATGGTTTTTGTGTGCAATTGCTTAAGATATCTTCAATAATGGCCCTCCCTGGTGGTGCAGCAGATTAAAGCACAGCACTAAGAAGCTAAGACCACATCTTCATGCGTTCGATCCCGCCTGCCTCGGAGGTAACCACATGGCGTGGCAGACCTCTCTTTTCCTGTCCCCCCGCTGTCCCCCTCAGCAGTGGACTTTGGCAATCTGCCTGTTCTGCTCCCAACTCTGTCTCTGGTGAATTCTCTCACCGCCTCGCATCTCTGGCTTGTACCCCAGTTCTGTATGCACAAATAAATCTTTAAAAAAATATATATTTTTTTGGGCTCTCCCTGGTGGCACGGTGGTTTAGTTAAAGCACAGCACTAAGAACTCTTCATGAGTTCGATCCCTGCCTGCCCCGGAGGTGACCCACATGGCACGGCAGACCTCTCCTGACCCACCCACTGCTCCCCTCAGCAGTGCACTTCATCTATCTGCCTGTTCTGCTCCCCACTCTGTCTCTCTAGTGAGTCCTTTCACTGCCCCTGAACCTCTGGCCTGTACCCCAGTTCTGTATGTATAAATAAATAAATCTTTAAAAATATATTTTTTAATAGTTTTACCATATGGTAAACATCCAGCAATTTCAAGAACTGAAAACATGCTCTCAGAGATATTTGTACACCCATGATCATTATGGACAATAGCTAAGCCATGAAAGCAACCCAAGTATCCATGGATGGATAAGTAGATAAGCAAAATATGGTCTATACACACAAAAGAATATTATTTAGGCTTGAAAATGGAATGAAACTCTGAAAGATGCTACAACATGCATGAATCTGGACATGATGCTAAGTGAAATGAGTCAGTCATGAAGACAAATACAGTAGTGTTCCACTCATGGCAATGGCACAGAAACAGAAAGATGGGGTGGCAGGACAGAGAGGGGTAACTAGGGAGATACTGTTTAATGGGGATAGATTTTCAGTTTTAAAAGATGAAAGAGTTGGCCCTTCCTGGTGGCACAGCGCTTAAAGCACTGCACTGAGAAGCTAAAGCCGCTTCCACATGAGTTCGATTCCTGCCTGCCCCAGAGGTGACCACATGGCGCGGCAGACCTCTCCTGACCCGCCCACTGCTCCCCTCAGCAGTGTACTTCGTCAATCTGCCTGTTCTGCTCCCCACTCTGTCTCTGGTGAAGGCTCTCGCCACCCCTGAGCCTCTCACTTGTGCCCCAGTTCTGTATGCACAAATAAATAAATCTTAAAAAAGAAAAAAAAGATGAAAGAGTTATAGGTGCATATGGTAGTGATGTTACACATTATTATGGATGTAATTCATCCTACTGTACACTTTAAAATGGTTAAGATGGTCAGTTTCACATGTATTTTACCACCAAAAAAAAGTGTATAGTTTGCGGTGGAAATAAAAAATACATTTGTTACAGACAATACCTGGTGCCACATATAATAAAAGATGTGTTCGATGTTATGTGCAAGATTTTATGGAAAAAATTATCAAAAGACATTCAAGACCTAAATAAACAGGGTGACATATACATCATATTCATGAATGGGAAGACAATTCTGTAAGATGTCATTTCCCCCTAAACTGATCTCTAGATCCAATACACATATATCTAGCAAGGTTCCTCCAGGAACTTGAAAAATTATTCTAAAATCTACTAGCAAATGATGACAAATACAGCAAAAATCATCTCTGATGTAGAATAAAGTCGGGAGGGTTTAATATTTCAGATATCAGCTCACCTAACGACAATGTGGTATTGGCGAGGATCATCAAACTGGTAGGTGAAAGAGAACAGGGAACCAAAAAACCATCTGCATATATTTGGACATGTAATAGATGAATAAAGGGGGGCCCACACAGGGGGGCAAGTATAAGCTCTAATAACAAATCTGCAAATCGTTGGCCCGCCCTGTAGAGAAAAGTCTTTAAAGCCTTAGTTCATGCCACACGCAAAAATCAATTACAGATGGGTGAAGATTTGAATATGAAGTACAAAATATTCAATGCTTTAGAGGAAAAAATGTAATATTTTACGACCTTGCATAAGAAAGAATTCTTCAAGAAAACACCAAAAGCAGAAATCAAAAAGAAAAGATGGGTGAACTTGACTGAACTGAAATAAAAACACACTATAAATAACTGCAAAGATGAGCCACAAATTGGGAGAAGATATTTGCAATTCATAAGTAACAAATGAGTATCATCCTAAATATATAAAGAACTCCTAAAAAACACTAAGAAAGCAGCAGAAAACCCAATAGAAAATTAGGTAAAAGACATGAACAGGCGTTTTATAGAAGAAGAAACCTGAATGGCCAATAATGATTTGAAAATATGTTCAACCTCATTAGTAATCAGAGAAATGCAAATGCGGACTATAGAGAATTGCCATTTTATACAAACTAGTTTGGCAAAAGTGAAGGCGCCTGGAAAATTTTGATCTTGATGTAAAGCAACGAAAACTCTGTTTCTAGGAGTAAACATGGGCAAAGCCACTTCGGAAAACAATTTGGCACTGTCTTTGGAAGCTTAACAAGCGCCCACTCCACAACTCAGCAGTTCTTCTTCCAGAATCTCCCATGCAGGTGCATCTGGAGAGTCATCAGAATAGCCACGGCAGCCTCATGTATAGGAACTAGGAAATGACAAGCAAATCCAATGTCCGCGGATGGCTGAATAGAGAAATAAATTGTGACCTAGTCACCCAAAGGAAAATGATACCTCAGAGGGGAAAAAAAAATTACTGTGAAGCATCCACCTGGGTACATATCAGAAATAGGATGTTCCGTTGAAACAGAGCGAGAGTTCAGCTTTATGCAGCTGACAAACGAGCAACACCATCCAAAGCACTGTTTGGGGATACACGCACACACATGGTAAAATTACCCCCCAAAAAGGCAAGAAAATTATAAATACACATTGCAGGGGAATATTTCTGTCTAAGAGGGAGGTAGGGAGCGGAGTTAGAAAGCAGCGTCCAGACGATGTTCTAATTCAACTAGGGAGCTTCGCTGGTGTTTGCTGGGTTATTATCACTTCGCGGCTTTCATAAACATTCCATATTTTCTCTGTATGAACCAACACTAGCATGAAAAGGTGTGTGATGAAGCAATGACGGCCAGCTCCCAGCACGCAGAGCTGACAGCCCCACCGGCCGGCACACCACCAGCAGATGGTCTTCAGCAGCCCGACCAGCAGAGCGGCCTTTACCCCCATCTCAGCCAGGAGGAAGCAGACATCCAGGGAGGCTGAGCGAGTCGCCCAGGTCACACAATTATGCCAGGTCTGTCTGCTCCAGTCTCCCTGCTTGGCCACTGGTCTGCTTCTCACACAGCAGCTGCTCAAAAGCTGCTCTGATCCCCACTGACCACAAAGTATCACGCCCTCCTCTGAGTCCCTGGGGAACATCCCACGATTTATACCTTTAACACAGGAACCTCACGTTCCCCTTGGGCCTCTATCCAAGCCCGCCCGTTTCCTAAGCTCCTTCCACAAAGGGCACACCAGCGCCCTGTCTGTATCTCCAGTGCCAGCGCCCGACCCCAGCAAGGGCACCAGATGTGCTTCAGCATCAGGGTACACAGACCTCACTGAATGAGGGGCCTCCCGGAGGGGCTCCACCCTACTCAGTCAGGTGCCTCCCCCAAACCCCAGACCATGAAGGAGGGGCAGCAGGGGCAGGCACTCACCCCGGGGGCTGTAGCCGTGGGCGTCCATGAAAGAGAGACCCAGCCGCTCGTCCTCCTGCAGGGTGCTCTGGTCCGTGAAGCTCCTGTCCGCTGCGCTCATCATGTGAGTCTTCTCCTGGCGGTAGTTGACAGTGGCCTTGGTCATGTTCACCGGCTTCCTGCAGAGGTGGTGGACAGGAGACACAGGCCTCAGTGGGCAGAAGAGTGCCCACCCCTGGGGAGGAAGGCCCAGCCGTCAGGGGGCCTGGAGACCAGAAGCAATTCTGGAAGTGTCTCTGGACGCTAAGAGGACTCTGCTTTCATCCTTCACTCATCAGCCCGAGCACCGCTGCCCCCCCCCCCCAAAAGAGCCTGGCAGGGCCCCTGCTCTGGGGACTTTTGCAGAAAGCGAGCGATAGAGTGGCAGCTTGGGGACGTGGCTCCCCAACGCCCACTGACCCCAGCGGTGAGTCACCGTACCTATTCCGGTGTCTCGGCAGTCGCCTACCCCAAACTGGGACGTGGCTGCCCCAGCTCCAGCCTAGTGCTCCCCTTGGCCATCCTCTCTGTCCCCAGAGATGTGACGGAAGCTGCTTCTCCTGCAGTGCCCCTCCGTGGCAGAGGGTCTCGCGAATGGAGAGCCAGGCTCAGGGGTCTTCCCCAGGGCCCAGAATGAACTCCCAACATTGCTTCTTCTACCCTCAGGAGCTGCAAGCACCACAGATGTGGTGTAGAGAGCCACCCAGGAGCCACCCAGGAGCCACCCAGGCCCTGGAAGCAGCAGGGGGGGGTGAGAGGTCAGACCCTCCCAGAGGGCAGGACTTCTGGAGCCGCTGCGCAAAGGCCCGCATGGCCCAGGCTTCAGCCCAGCTTTCTAGGTGAGAAGACAGTCTGTGACTCTGAAACTGGAAGGAAGCTGTAGGGAAAGTGGGAATGGGGGGCCGGGGGGTGGGGAGGCTGGAGGCACCACTCCAGGACCGAGGGGCCAAGCAGCAGGCAAAAGGGATGACTTTGGCTCTACACTGAAACTGGACAAGAGTCTCCAGATAAGAGTCATTCACCTACTGGCCCTACAGCATGTGGGGTGTGAGGTAGACCTGAGAAAGGACTTCCAAGCTGTGACGCTTCTAGGACACTGATCATGCATGGCGATATTGAGGCCAGTGAACAGGTCTTCCCAAACCTGTTTGGGAAGCTCCAATCAGCCCGCCCTGGTTCAAGAGCTGCCCGGGGCAGGGGAAGGAAATCATGGCCCCCCATGCTGCTCCTACCGGTCCCAGTGTCCAGCCTGTGCCTAGAGGACCGCACTTGTCTCAGTGTGAACGAGACAGCTCAACAGCACGGCCTCCAGGCCCAGCCCCACCCTCTAGGCTCCAGGCTTCACCTTCCCTGTGGCCAGGAGCAGAGCCAAAGGGCCCTGTGCAGGCAGTTGAGAAGCCTCTGTGGCTGTGACCTTGACCGTTGATATGGAGGGAGGATGAAGGAGGAGGGAAGGAAAAGGAGGTGAGAAAGAGGAAACGCGAGGATGAAGATGAAGAAGAGGAGGAGGAGAAGGGGAAGGAGACAGACCAGGGAGCAACAGGCCAGACACCAGCAAACCAGAGGGCAGACAGAGGGCCAGGGACAGATGACAGCAGGCGGGGCTGGCCGCACAGTGGGGCCCAAAGAGTAACCCCCACCAGAGGCCACAGCCCAGAAGGCGTCTGCAGAGGCACCGAGGGCTCTCTCCCACCCAGGCCACAAACACCATCCAGCCAGACCCACATGAGGCTGACCCAGACGGACCCCAACACTGCGGCCTGCTCCAGCCCACTTCAGGGGAGATTAAGCGGATGGAATTGCACACCATTTGGAAAAGTTCTGCCTTTAGTTTCCAAAATCCACCGCACAAGTAGAAGACGGACTGCCTTGTCAGCAATTCCTGCAGAAGCTGAGCTGAGGCTCCACATGCGTGGATAGGGGGCAGCTGCTGGAAAAGCTAGGGTGACCCTGAGTGACCTCCATGCAAGTAGAGGGTACAGGGAGCAGGGTGAGAGACCATCGTCCTCTGGGCTGGCGTGGGGACACCTAGACCTGCTCCACAAGTTGGGGGGGGGGAACAAAACAGGTGTGGGGAATGTTCTGGAAGGTTTGCAGAGTCACAGAGGACAGAAGCATCAGAGGCTGTAGAGCCAGATGGGCCTGGGTTGTCACCCAGCTCTGGCACTTCCTGTGACCTCTGACAAGTGCCTGGACCTCTCTGAGCCTCAGTTTTCTCATCGGGGAAAGTGATGGGAGGAGGTGTGAGCAGCGTGGGCCACCAACTGAGAAGGGGTCCTGGTAAGCCGGAGGTGTCTGCTGTGCGGGACCGGCCCACCCCACATGCACACAGCAGTCCAGGGATCCCAGAGGGGGCCACCTGTGGACCCCCCTTGACATGGGCGTTGCCCATGGGTGGGCAGGAACCTGAGGACCAGCGAGGGCTCATGAGCACAAGGGGCTGCCTGCTGGCCCGGAGCTCCCCAGGCTTGGGGACGGCAGGTGACTGGGCAAGGCAGCAGTGCCAGGTCTGAACCCCAGACCCCGAGGACCAGCCAGCGCTGGTGACTCCACGGCGGCAGAGAGAGACAGAGCCGGGACAGAGCTCAGACAGAAGATGGCTGTGCGAACGGCTGACTCCAGGCCAGGCAGGCGTGTGGGAGTCAAGCCTGGCCAGCGGGGCGGAGGAGGGGCCCGCAGCGGCTGGTGCGCAAGGCCAGCAGAGCTACTTACGGGTAGTAGGAGTAGGCATAGTGGTCTCTCCTGGCAGCGTGCAAAGAGAACAGCACAGTTGGGACCTGGGTCCCTCCGCAAGTCTAGGCCGAGGGCAGCACCCAGCCAGCAGGGAGGGGCCTGGGACTCTCCGAGCTGAGGATGGGGCTGGACAGGTCAGCGGGGCCTTCCTTACCCCATGGGCCAGGCTGGCTCAGTCACAGAGGGCCTTCTGGAACCTTCCCCAAGTCTGTTGCCAGAGTGTGGAGGGGGAGGGGAAGCAAAGCCTTCACACACAGACCTGCACATACTCAGGAAGTGCACACCCTGGCACAGACACGCTCACACACTCACACACAGACATACGCATGCAGGCGTCACACAGGACCACACACGGACACACAGACATCTATTCGCAGACACGCACAGAGGGGAACGTTCGCGTGGACACCCCACTCACACCCTCAAAGGTAACTGCACTCGCCTCTGCCGACTGTCCCCCACGCTCCATCCTCTGCCCCCACACACCTGTGTCTGAGCAGGGTGGGGGAAAGTCCAGCAGGATTTCAGGGGCAGACTTGGGGCTCCCCCACCCAGTCAGACAGCTCCAGCTTACCCCCTCATGTGTACCCCGAAAAGCCTTGGTGAAGAGCCCCACCATTAGACAAAGCCCCCACAGAGAAGGCAGGGCAGGTGAGGAAGCAGAGCCGGAGTCACACTGTACCCCAGCCCCTGCGGGGTCAGGGGCAGCCCAGGGCAGACCTTTGACCCCACAGCACCTCTGCTCCCCCCGGACGGCCCTTCTGGGCACGTTGCAGGGGCCTCCATTCACCTGTCCCCACATCATCCCATCAGCAGGACCCCAAGGAAGGGCCCCCCGCAAAGAAATCCTCAACACTGAGAGAGGGGGAGTGGAAGACTGAGGCCCAGCCAGGGCAGAGGCCTGAAGCTGCTCAGCAGGGAGGGGAGAGAGAGGGAGCCTGGCACTGTGCCTGATCAGGAGGCCCGGGAGGGGGCCGAGAAAAGGCACTCATGACTTCAGAGGGCCTTCCCTGACCACTCCCGACAGGCACAGTAAATTGCACCCCTCTCCCTGTCCCCCCCAGCCAATACCTCATTCTTGACACCGTCTGACTGTCTATTTGTGCTTTTCTAGTTGCATGCAACTCCAAGACAAAGGCACACGTGGGCAGCGCCCTGGCCTCTGCTGCCCTCGGCTGTCCTCTGGGCCTCGGGGCAGTGCCCAGTACACAGTAATCTCTCCAGAAGGATTTTTTGACCTTATAATACCCACAATAACTTTCATACAAAGCTAATGAAGTCTAAAATGGCATAACCCGTCAAGTCCAAATTTGAAACTTTTTCTAAATAAATAATTGCACTATAAAAAGCTTTTTAAAAAAAGATGTTTTGAATTGAGTAGTCAATAAGTGAGGATAAATCAATAAAGGCACACCACCTGCGTGAGGTTTTCCTCCTCTAAACAGTGAGGTCAGTAATGGGCCCGGGGCCTTCGCATCAGCAACAGCAAGCCCCACTCTGCCCCCCCACCGCTGAGGCTGAGGCCCAGCTGGTTTCCTCTCCCAGCGTCCTTCCAGGGCTGGCCTGCTGGCTCAGACCCTAGCGCTCTGCCCACCCTGCCCACCTGGGAACAACTCCTCGGCCCTCAGGGGCTCTCAGTGCAGCAGGGTAGTAAGCAGGGAGCGAGGGCTGAGCTGGGGAGAAGGAAGTGTGCAGGCAAGGACAGGATGGGGGGGCAGGATCCAGACCCCCCAGGCCCTGGGGCTCCGGGAGCAGGGCCCCTCCGATTGTTCCAGGGGCAGGCGGGCTTGAGTAGATGACCTCTGCACTCAGCTGTGCTCCTGCTGTCTCCCGTAACCCCCCAAGCCGCCACCAAGGAGGGCTCGTGGGGTGGGGTGACTATGTAGCCGCCCTCCTGCAGCAACCGCCTAACTGTCCATTCCATTTGTGCTTCAAGTTGATCTGAGCATCCCCTCCCCTGCCAGAGCTGTTGTGTCCCATGACACCCCCCAATGCAGACTTCAGGGAGCCTTGGAGAGCGCAGGGAGCCCTGAAGGCGATGTGGGGTCCCGGGATGCCATGAAGTCTACCGACAGGGGTGGAATGATTTTAGAAGGGGTAAAGAGGGGCAGCAGGGAGCCTAGAGGCGTCTGGGGTGGCCTGACAGGCTTTCTGGGGTAGCAGCTGCGTAAAATGAGGGTTTCGGCCCTGCCTGGTGTGGCAATGGGCTAAGGCGCAGCACTGTGGAGCTCCCCACAGCCACTGGAGTTCCACTCCCAGCCAGGGAGCGGGCCATATGGCAGCCCTCTCCTGACCTGCCCACTGCTCCCCTCAGCAGTGCGCCCCACTTCAGTCCATCTGCCTGTTCTGCTCCCCACTCTGTCTCTGATGAGTCCTCTCACCGCCCCTGCACCTCTGGCCTGTACCCCAGTTCTGTATGCAGAAATAATAAATCTTTAATATATATATATTTTTAAATTTATTATATATATATATTTTAAAGATATATATATAACAGATAAAGAAAGTGGGGTCACCTAGCGTGGCCCGGCAGCATCATTCTTCCCCCTTCCCTGGGCCAGCGTTCTCTTGGCACCTGGCTGACATCCCCAACTTGGCCCACCTTCTCTCCTTGAGGGTTAGATTTCTAAGGCCTCAAATACCACCTGCAGCTTCCCCAAATCGCCCCCCCCAAGCCCTCTCCACAGGGGAGACTGGGGGAGGGGAGCGCGCAAGCAGAGGGGTCTCAAAAGCTCACCCCCAGCCCCAAACAGAGGCCCAGCCTCCAGCTAGTTGGTGTACTCGGCCCCAGGAGAGATTGACTCAGCACTTTGAAGACAGGTTCTGTGGCTTTTTTAAAAGATTTGAACCCCAATAGACCATCTGTCCTTGAACTGCCCGGCAACTCCCATTTTCTGAGCTCAAAACCTCTACAATTCTAAATACAGAGCCTGGGGGGGAGGGGGAGGCCTGGGACAGCCGAGGTGCAGGGTCCTTGGGGTGAAAGGGAGTAAGCAGCGCCCCACTGCTCAGGGAAACACCACAATCCCTTGGTCAGCGAGGGCTGCAGAGGGCTGCAGAGTCCAAGCCAGGCCGCCTCCACACACACACTCCCCTTGGGACAAGAAGCCGGCAGAGCAAGGCGGGCGCCGACTTCCAGCACAGCTCCTTGGCAGCAGCTACGGGGCACCCTTCCCTGGCAGCGGCCCCTGGCACCAGCCAGACCTGGGCTCGGGCCCAGCTGCTCTGGGGCAGCTCCTTTTGCAGAATCTCTGGCTCCCCACTGCCAGCGTGGCCTGAAGTCCAGGCTGGCAGCCCCGACCACCAGCCCCCAGCCCACCCCTCTGTGCCCACCAGGCCTCTGAGCAGCAGGAGCCTGGGTGAGCCAGGGCACCCGCCTCACTCACCCCTTGCGGATGATGACTATAATGGCCCCCAGGAGGAGGATGAGGACGGCGAGGCCCCCTGCACAGATGCCCAGGATGAGCCCCATCTCCTCCGATCTCTGGGACACTTCCAGGGGCCGCTTGCTTTCCTTGCAGGCAGCTGAGGAGAACAAAGCAGGACAAGAATCAGAGGGGAGCGTGGGACCCCCTTCCCGGGTCCGCCAGGGTCTGAGCTGCCCCAGCGAGCAGCCCGCGCGCATGCACGCACACACAGAAACAGCCACCCCAGCCTGCACGCGCCGTCGACCCCACTCCTCAGCTCCCCACAGCTTCTGCGGCCGCCTCAACTTCTCCTATCAAGACTGGCTTCCCGCTCCTCTCCACACACTCAATCCCACCCCCATCCTTCGGTGAAGGGGGGTGGAGGGCACCTGGGGCCATCAGGCCTCCCTTTGGCACCCCTGGGAAGTGACAGGGAGAATTATGTAGGCGGGACACGGCTGGCATCTCAGGGTGGGGGCCTACTACCCTCTCTGCCTGGGAGCAGGGCAATGCCTGCACCCCAGGGTCCGCGCTGCCCTCACCTGCCCTGACCATGGCCCAGCGCCCAGGCCCAGTGCCCAGTATTCCCCCGGTGGCCCGGACATCTGGCTGTCCCTCCACAGACATGTTCCACCCCGTTCTGTGACTAGGGGGCTGGGGAGGGGGAGGTGGTTAAGCTCTGCCCCTGCGACCCAGTCCGGGAGAAGGAATCCTCGAAGTGGGGCACACAGGGGCCCAGAAGGGAAAAGCTTCCTCACCCCAAGTGTGCCGGCCCACTGTTCTCTGCTCCCACGAGTCTGGCCCTCAGAGTCTACCTCCCAGAGCCCAAGAGGGAGAGAAACCCAAACGGCTGAGGGGACCCAGGGGACCTTACCTTTCCTGGCGATGCGGATGCAATTCAGACGGGTCTCCTGGAGGCACAGACAGGGCGCTAAGCACCGCTGAAACCACGCCCTCACCCTCCGGGGAAACCTGGGGTGTCTTGGTCTAGCTCAGGGCTTGTTAGTGAGAGTGTAACTTAACACACCTCCAGCCCAGAGGGCCTGGGGGCGGTGAGGGAAGGAGGGATGGAGAAAGGAGGGGGAGTCCACAAGTAGGGTGAGGCCTTAGGAAAAGGGGAGCGGCTCCAGGAGGGGCCGGACAGTCTAGATCAGAGAGCAAAGCTGGGAGGAGCGGGCTTCAGGGAGGAGGTGGTCCTGGGCCCGGGGTGCAGAACCCCTCTGGGCTCCTGAGACAGGACCTCAGAAAGAGAACAGGAGTCAGGAGGTCTTGGGGAGCGGGGGTAAAGGCGTCTTAGGAGAGAGCAGGAATCAAAAGCGGAAAGTGGGCTCAGAAGTGCAGGCGGGGCCTGGGGCGTCCATCTCCAGGTGGCCCCGCCGCCCGCACCACAGCCCTGGCCATCGCTCACCCCCTTCAGGTGGCTTGTTGCCTGGAAGTAGATGAGGTAGGCCTTCCTGGGCTCCAGCGGTGGGTTCCAGAAGCCGCGGTAAGTCTGGTTGTCGCCCACGGTGAAGGGCATGGCTTCAGGCAGACTGCTGGCCGCCAGCTCGGCCCCGAAGTAGTGCACCAGGCCACGGGCCAGGGCCGCATCGAAGGTCAGCGGCACTGGGAAGCAGTCCTGGCCCCCTGGCTCCCGCCGCAGCCTCCGCGGCCGCTCCTCCTCCACGACCACCTGGTACACGCTGGACAGGGAGGGGGCACAGTGACCACGGGGCCGGGCAGGGAGGGGAGCGCAGTGACCATGGGGCCGGGCAGGGAGGGGAGCGCAGTGACCACGGGCCGGGCAGGGAGGGGAGCGCAGTGACCACGGGCCGGGCAGGGAGGGGAGCGCAGTGACCACAGGGCCG